ACCTGGATCTTTGTCCCTCACAGATTTGTCTAGAGGGGCGGGGCTGCTTGGTGACTGGGCAAAGACTCCTGGGGCTTCTGGCAGGAAAGGTGTCTTCCCTCCTGAGAGGCGCGTGCAGGCTCTAGGCAGCTGTTGTGTGTGTGTGGCTCAGACCCTTGCAGAGGCCACATAAGGTGCAAGAAAACAGGGAAACGGAAGATGCACTGTGGGAGGGAGAAGGGCTTCAGCACACGCCCCTCTCCGGGAGGGCCAGTCAGGCCCGAGAGACCACTGAAGCCCCCGGGAGCTGATCACTGCCTCCCGGAGCCAGGGGGCCCATGGCTGTGGGCTCTCTGCGGGGCCTGCCACTATGTCACGGTGGGACCTCAAGGGCCATTTGCCCTCTTAAGCCTCGGGTTCCTCAACTGTTAAATGGGGTCAGGAAAAGCACCTCCTGGAATAATGGGGTATGGGGACGTAGTGGAGACAAACCCGCGTGAGTATGTTGAGTTAGTGTAAACCATGCAACGCTGTGTCAGCCCAGAAGGGCAGAGCGAGCAGTTCAGAGTGGTGGGGAGAGGAGCTGGTCTGTGGGCCCCTGAGCACCCCAGGGACCATAATGCATCAGGCTGGTCCTGCAGGTAGGTGCACAAACTATTGGCACCGGTGTGGAGGATGGCTGAGGCCTGGCACTGAAACCATGAGAGTCGTCGGACCAGCTTGAGAGACCTCCCCTCAGTGCACCCCAAGTCCTTTGGAGGGTGGAGGCCAGAGAGGGGTGTGGTCACAGCTGATCTAGTCAGACCAGTTGCCCCTTGCAAGCGGGTCTCTGGGAGAAGAGAGGCCTGCAGAAGTCGGCTCCTGACCCACTGTGATTTTCCAAAGGTTGGGGTGTACTAAGCACCCCCCCAACCCAGTTCTCACTGCCCCACTGACCCATGGTCACGTCTCACTAAAGACCCCCAGTTCCCACTGCCCCCCCTGGCCCAGGGTTGGGTGCACTAAACACCACTGAATGTGTGAATGGAGCCGGTGCCTGCCACACCTGGTGTGAGATTCTGGCCCGTTGCCTACCGTGTCTGGAACTCAGGATCCCCATTACGAGAAATCTGGTTGACACCCTCAGATCTTCCCTCCACTCCAGACTCTGGTCTCTACCTCCCACTTGCCCCACCCGAGCCCCAGAGGAAGGACGCAAGTCGCCATAGGAGTGCTGAATGGCTCTTTATTGCTGAGGGCGCAGGGGAGTGAGCGCCAGGCCACTCTGCTGGGTCCAGTGTCCTCCTGGCTGGGCACGGGCTTTTGTTCCTGTCGGGTGTGGCAGCATCTTCTCAGAGGGAGACGCTCCTGGGGGCTCAGCCAGGATCCTGGGGAGCAGTCTGCAACTGGAGCACAGGGATGGTCGGGCACTCATAAGGGGAATCTGAGTGCCTGGCACTCACCAGACCCTGCTGCCAAGCCCTTCCCACGGCCCCCTGCAGGCCAGTGGCCTTGGAGAGGGACCAAGCTGTGCCTTGGCGTATTTTGTGGTTCCTGGACTGACCATCCTCATGCCCTCTCCTCCCCTTAGATGAGCAACAGGGGCAGGAGATCAGAGGTAAGGTGGGAGTCTGGGGTATGGGTCAGGGTCAGGGTCGGGGTCAGGGTCTGGACATGATCTGGACGATGGATGAGTCACGCTCAGTGCATGAGCATCCTGGGACGGTCTGGGCAGTGTTGGAGCTCAGTGGGTGTGTGGCTGTGGGTCAGTGTGGGAATGTGATTGGCATCAGGTTCAGCCCTGGCTGGGTCAGCTCAGGCAGGACCAACATCAGGGCTCAGTCACCACCAGAGAACGAAGAGGCCCAGCTGCTCTGGCCTCACAGGCCTCCTGCAGGAGCCCCACGCTCCGGGTCGCCCAGGGAGAGGCCTCACCAGCAGGCGGTCCTCTTGGTCTGTCTTCTTCAAGGCTGGACTCCCTGCTGAAGCTGAGCTGAGGGAACAAACCAGAGTGGGCCTCAGTCTCCACCGATACGAGCCATTGTCAGGGCGGCCACTCCCCAGCGAGCCCGCTGAGAGCCCAGGACTCAGGCCCCGCTCCGCTCTCCACACCCCTCTGCTCGCCTGAGAGGACACATGAGGCCACATCCTGCAGGGCTCGGTCAGGGCACAGTGACATGGCGCAGAGGCTGCGGGGACGCGGCTGTGGCTCTCGCACAAAAGGGCCACGTGTAGGCCCAGCACCTCAGGACCCCACATCTGTGGCCCAGCACCCCCGGCAACTCATCCTTTGGACACCACCGGCCTCAGGACCCCGGGGGCAGAGGAGCAGCCACAGCTCCTCCCAGGCAGAGGGAGGCAGAGTGGGTGAGCCGGGCCTGCGGGGCAGCTGCTCTCTGCCAGCTGCTTTACCCTGCTGAAGCCAGACGGTGTCAGTCTCCTTGCCTTGGAGCTCCCAGGCTCAGGGAGAGAAACGCGGGACCAGGGCCACAGCTGGTGAGCAGCAGAGGGAGGCTCTGAGCCCAGACGGGCCCATCTCTCTGCATGGCTCTGCCTGGCATGTGCCATAGCTTTTGAGGGCTGACGGAGGCTTGAGACTCTGGGCTGGTCCCATAGTGCCCTCAGGCCCCACTCTCTCACCAGGTCAGGATGGCCCAGGATGGTCCCTCCTGCTCAGGGTCCCTGAGCAGACCTGCCTGCAGGTGGGCCAGAGCGCAGTTCTCCCAGGGAGCATGGGGAGGGAGTGTCCCCTTCCCCAGCTGTGACTCACCAATGGTGTACTGCATTAAGTCCACACTCATGGTCTGGACGACATACTTCAACAACGGGCACAACTGAGGGGAACAGAAAGTGGGGACAGACGGAGGGTGAGTGGGGTGCAGGATGAGGAGGAAAAAGTCAGATCATTTTCAGCTGGAAACAGAGGCAGGCCGCTTCAGAGATGCTCCTTGTGTGGAGCTTAGAACCCCCGACCCTCAGCCTCTACAACAATGAAAACCCAGAGGAGCAACTCTGAGAACCACATCTAACTCCTCAGCATGGAAGAATCCAGACGGCACAATCCAGAGCTTCGCTCCAGAGCCCTGATGCAGAGGTCGGGAAATGGAACCTGAAGTTTGCAGGTGTCTCAGGCCCTGGCCCCAGCAGTGTGTCCCATGAAGAGTGTGCAGTCCTGGGCTTCATTATAATGCTCAGTGCAGTCAGCAAGCCGGGGGATGGTCACAGTCTGAATTCCTAACAACTCCAGTGAGCCCAGTGCTGTGCAGACCCACCCTGTGAGCCAAGGTCCCAATCAGAGAGGCAACAGCCCCCGGAAGGTCTCTCTGTCACACACCCGGTTTCCATGCCCTTCCAGAATGACTAATTATGAAACTGGGACTTTGGTTTTTGGGTGAGTTATTGATGAAAAATCTACTCTAATAATAGCTGTTTCATTCACAACTGATTGTACTTTAAGTGGTATTACCTTCTGTTTATTGGAGGGTTAAAATATTTCCTTTACAAAATAAATATATTTCTAAGGACTTCGGTAATAAGTGTGTTGATGTCAGAGCCAAGAGCAAACCAGGTCCTGCTACTACAGGATTTGCCAGAG